GCTCCCGCCTCTCTCTCTCTCCTTCCCACTCGCTCCCGTGCTCATGTGCAGGCAGGCAAGGAAAGGGAGATGGAGCCATGCGCAGCTCTCAACTCCTCCAGCCCTCACTGCCTATCCCAACATCAAAGCCTCAGAGATGCAGGCAAAGCCGCCACAGCGGTAGCATCCTGAGTTGCTTGCTTCTCCACTATTGCCTCCTCCAGCACCTCCTTCTCTGGGTAGGGTGATTCTTAACTAACCGAGAATGCTAAGGTAACTCGGGCGCTACTGCGGTGGCGGCTTTGCCTGCGCAGTCCAGATTAATTGCTTTTGGGAGCCATTTCTTCTGTGGCCCACCAAAAATTTTCCACAGCCCACTGGTTGGCGACCACTGATCTAATGGGAGCTATAAAATGGCCTATTTCTGTTGCACTACCTGGTCTCTGGAACACCATGTCCCAGACATTAGCTTGTAAAAGGCTAGCAGAATCAAAGCCAAAGTGATGAAATTAGGGATGTGCTCCATGGCTTGAGGTCAGAAGTTAAATGACCCATATATTGTTCTTACTGTTGTGTTTCTTGGGTTGTTTTTGACAACACATACACACACACATTGTTAGCTGCCCAGAATCACATTTGTAAGATCAGCAATCATATAACTTCGATTGAATAAATATTTACCCAGTGTCCTCTTTGCTGAGACTTACATGTGGGATAGAAAGAGATTCCACAGCCTTTTTGGATTACTGACAAATAGCAAGAAAAAGATCTTTTAAATCAGATCAGAATATACTGATACTTCTAAACCTCTGAAGTAAGTGAATAGGGAAAATAGCCCTCTCCCCCTCCACCATTCAGAGTTTGTTATAATATATTTTGTCCACTTAAAAAACAGGAACACTCAAAGACATATCTTGTTTTGTATAACACATACAAAAATAAATGACTGAACTTTGCACAGTTTTAAAAAGGAACTTAGTTCGCAATTCTGTGTTCTGTTACCCGGGTATTAATCTAAATGAACTCTGCCTTATCTGTGTAAAACTATTTGTTCTGTAAATCTTCTGGAATTACAAACTGTTTGGATTATTTTCAGGACTAGTTTTCACACAGATCTTTTTATACAATTCATTTTTCTATTTAAAAAAACATTCATAACTGTAAACTACAATATGTTAAAAATACAAGAGCTCTGCCTACTTCCTTAAAGATGAAGCAATTCCCTTTCTTCTGACATATAACATTATTTTAGCTATTAAAATACATTCCAGTGACAGATTGAAGTTTCATTAACCTGGAACAACCTTTCAAATACTGATAAAACTGTTGCTGCTGCTGCTAGATTTATATCCCACCATTCCTCTAGAACAGTGGTTGCCAACCAGTGGGCCAGGGACCACTGGTGGTCTGCAAGAAAATTTTGGTGGTCCACAGAGAAATGTCACCCCCAAAGCACCCCCCAAGCAATTAATCCAGGCTGCGTGGGAATACAAGGCTGCACCACCCACGTGCTTGTGGGAACGCAAGGCTTGCGTCGCTTGCAATGTGAACAACACGAGGTAGTGAGGGGAGGCGGGAAAGGGCGGACTTGCCCCATGCGCCCCATGCGACTGGCCTGGCCGCCGGGCTGTTTCTTTCTGCTTCTTTCTTCTGCTTTTGGCTGCACGCAAGGAAAGCAGCAAAAGTCTTTTTTTCTCTCCCCAAACTCCGCCAGAAATGAGTCTTTGGGCTCTGCAAGGCATTCTGCTCCAAGAGGCTGCACCAGCATGACAAGTCTCACAAAGACTTATTTCTGGTGGAGTTTGCGGGAGAGAAAGGAAGACTTCTGCTGCTTTTGCTGCTTTTCTTGCATGAAGCCTAAAGTCTCTCCCCACCTCCCCCAAGAATGGAGATGGTATCCTGCGATTCCCAGGGTCTCTGCTACTTTCTGCAGAGACCCTGGGAAAACGTCAGCAAGCCACCGTCAGTCAAAATTCATATGAGTTTGGTGGTCCCTGAGGTCCAAAAGGTTGGCGATTCCTGCTCTAGAACAAAACATGGGGTGCTTTCCATACTAATTACTTCCCATATTAATACTAATAGCAATAGCACTTAGACTTATATACTGCTTCACAGTGCTTTTACAGCCCTGTCTAAGCGGTTTCCAGAGTCAGCCTATTGTCCCTAACAATCTGGGTCTCCATTTTACCCACCTCGGAAGGATGGCAGGCTGAGTCAACCTTGAGCCTGGTGAGATTTGAACTGCCAAATTGCAGGCAGCTGATAAGTCAGCAGAAGTAGCCTGCAATACTGCATTCTAACCACTGCGTCACCATCGCTCTTAATAATAACAGTAATTTTTATTCCACTTCTATTCATCTATCTCAAGGGGGGGGGCTTAATAGAGGTGGTCCCTGCTTACAACCACAACTGAGCCCCAAATTTGTTGTTAAATGAGACGTTAAGTGAGTTTTGCCCCTTTTTATGACCTTTCTTGCCAGAGTTAAGTGAAACAGTGCAGTTGATAAATTAGTAACCCAGTTAAGTGAATCAGGCTTCTCCATTGACTTTGCTTGTCAGAAGGTTGCAAAAGGTGATCACATGACCTTGTGACACAGCAACATTCATAAATATGAACCCGTTGCCAAGCATCTGCATTTTGATCAGATGATCACAGGGATGCTGCGAAGGTCATAACTGTGAAAAACGGTCATAAGTTGCATTTTTCAGTGCTGTTGTAACTTTGAACCATCACTAAACAAACTGTTGTTAAGTCAAGCACTATCTGTACTTTTTCCTGCTCCTCTTTTCCCAACAACCGTCAAGTAGGTTGGGCTAAGTGATTAGCCCAAAGTCACCCAGCTGGCTTTCATGCCTAAGGGAAGCCTTAAAACACCTGCTACCAACAATGTGAAATCTCTGGCAGAGAAGAACTCTCCAAAATCACATAATTAACTCCTACAGGGTTTTGAATCTTGGCCTACATCAAGTTCAACATCTTAAGGCTCCCATAATTTTGGCACCATAGTAGAAATAATAAAGCAACAGGCTTTTAATCTTCATTATTATTACTGCTGAGCATTTAGCTTTCACATTGTCTGCCACTTATGATTAGTTATCTGTTTCTACATTTGTCTATTAATGAGTGATTCTAAAACAGGTTGGAGCCATTTTGAATCTGGTGGATCTTGAGCTGCTACACTCCCATTAATTACTGTACATAAGATACTTCATTTCCCAGTTATTTAATCACACAATTATTTGACTTGTGCAAATTCTGGACTATATTTCACTAACAATTTATAAGCAAGCCCCAACAAGAGGTTCTGAAGTTTTGTGCTTTGGCCAGCAGAACTTTGATCAATTTGTCTAGTGCTAAGCCAGCTGCAAACCTTTTCAACAAAAAAACAGCAAGAGGCAGCCCTACAGTATTCTGGTTATTTCTTGAGTGCTTCCAGGTGGGCAAAACAGAAAATGATCTGGTGCAGAAGCTATTGCTGGATTCCTAAATGAAGAAATCACTTTTAAAGGAACATCGTGTTGGAAATTAAAACCCATCCCTCTCCTAGGAAAATGAAATATTTTAGGGTATAGTAAAAAGATACTGAGACAGAAACTCAGCCTCCCACTTTGCTAATGGGTCATTACTCTGGTCTGGGCCAGTGTATTTTACATAACAAAGATCTAATCCAGGTACAGCCATAATAGGAATTGCCCAAAGCCCTTTCATTACATCATCATCCAGCAAGGTTCAACCAAGCCTGGGATTCAGGACAGCCCACAAGAGTTGCCCCTGCATGGCACCATGGAAGTCTGACAACCAATCCAAATACAAGTTCAAATTCAAATCCCAACAGAGGGAATAAAACCCAGGGACCCTCAGTATCTTGCCCCTTTTCTTTTCGTTCACCCAATATCTTCAATTATGTGATCATCCTTTTCACTTTGGAGCTCCAAGCCATGTGGTCCTGTCCACCATTAAACCATCTTTCCAAGCAGTCGTTTCCAGTGTCTTTCTTCCCTACTTGGAACTGAACCCAGGAGGATATTTCTTCCAACAATTGTCTTCAGACATCATGTTTTAGCGTAAAGTAATCAGCTCTTGATAGCTGATGTGTCAACCCAGTGACTAACAAGCCAATCCGTGCCTATTGTTGAATAAATGATAATTTATTCACACATAATTCTTTAACTATAAAGCATAGTTTACAAACCACAACGTTTGGGTTTTCCCAACACACAATCTCAGCATCCAGGATTTGTTGTTGTTGGAGGCACCCATCACCCTGAACCCCAAATCGCTGGTACTAAATCTACCATTTTATAGAACTGGGAAATAAATACAGCAATAAAAAAAATCTTAGTGCAAGGTGTCAGCTTAACGTCTGACAAGACAGACGGAAATTTGACACCAGCAACTTTCCATGCAAAGTCCCAAAGGTGCTTTTTTTCCAAGGGGGAAATCGGACTTTCTGGTTTTTCTTGGAAGACGTTTCGCTTCTCATCCAAGCTTCCACTTCTCATCTAAGTTTCTTGGATGGGAAAAGAAACGTCTTCCAAGAAAAACCAGAAAGCGTGGTTCCCACCTTTGGGACAACCAGAACCTGGATGACTGAAAATCCCCACAGACTTCGTTGCGAAGCTGCGCTCGTCTGCAGGAGTCCCTCACCCACCCACCCCCACTGGACTACAAATCACATAATCCGCACCCAGGATCGCTTCTCGGGACGCAGGTTGGAGGAGGGCGGCGTTCACGACCCGTGCGCTCTCCCCCCGCCCACCACAGCCAAGAGAGCGGAGAGCGCAGCCGCAGCAGCTCGAGAAGCCGCGTCACGCATCACGTGCAGAAGGAAAGTCAGTCGCTCGACCCGAAAGGGAGGCCCCGCCCGCGGGTTGGAGTGCTATATCCGGATGGAGCAATCGCTGTGCTCCTCGCTCTCCAGCTCCCCTAGTGGTGACCCGATGAACTAGAGCTTTGGAAGAAGAGCCGGCGAGGAACTTGACGTTCACCGGCTACAATTCGCAGCCGAGGTGCATCGGACTTCTTCCACCTGCACGAAAGCGCCCAAGCGCTTGGGGATCTCGCCTTTTCGGAGGTGAGCGGCTGGGGTTAGAAAGGAGGGCCTCCGGACAATAGTGCGGATTTGCTTGCTGGCTGTACTTGTGCTAAGTTCTGAGCGCCTGGACAAGATAAGGGTTTATTGGCAAGGGTTTATCCCCTTACGCGTGCATGTTAAAAACACTGGGAAATGTTTTTTTTATCTACGCTCCGGGAAAATGCATGAAACAGAGAATTAGCCACATTTCTGTTTTAAAGTTGTGGGTTTGTTGTTCGGGTGGGAAGGGATGTCTCCGTTTTGTTTTTTTTTCAGAGCCGATCCGTTATTATAACAGCCGTCATCCCCAACCAGACCAGTTGTTGGAGGGGACACAGATTGTGTGGGAATTGAATAAATTGGAACTGGATAATAAGTAAATCGCGTTAGGCTGCTGTGTCTAACTCAGGAAAGTTTTGGGATCTGACAACCCAAATCGCTGGCGTTTGCAAGGGATTTTTGTAAAGGTTATTTCAGGCTCAGGGGTAGCTTGAGGCTCTCCCTTCACCGACTGACTCATTTTCTGTTTCTTCAAATTGTTGTGTAACAGCTGTATGTCTTGTGATGTAAAGATATGTAAAGATGCCCAAATTCCCTTTTACAGTACTGTACCTGTTTATTGAGAAAAATCCTGCTTGGATAAAGCTATTAAAAAAACAAGTCTTTTAGACCTATATACCTCCTGGAATAAACTGCTTTAGATAGAATTTGTGTGCAAAACATCTTGACATTGATAGATTACTAAAGAGCCGATGTTTACATTGACTTCTGCTATCACTTGATGCTTCTGTTCCAAAAAACAGCAACAACCTTTTACAGCTATGGTGGACAAAAATCAGATTTGTGTTTGTTTATTATTTTAAAATAATTTAGGTTGCTCATTAAGACAATTATTCCTATGAAGTATAGAAAACAATACAATATTAAATGTCAAGTGCAGGCTTAAGGAAAGAAAAATAATTCAATAGACATCAAAAGCATTCCACAGAGATATCTTCAAATATAGTAGAATTTCACAAGTTTGTTAAGATCCCTACATTTGTTAATTGAAGACAAGCAATCAAAATATACTTAGGATTTAAAAATTTAGGGTTTAGGAATTTGTCACTATCAAAATCCCAAGGCATGCTACTGAGAATCCCAGTCCTAGTTACTTCCAATTTCTGTGATAGAAGTTACTGCTGCTTTTATTAGATAATCAAGAATCAAAATTCTTGCCTGTCTATAATACCTTGCCATATTTTCTACTTTCTAACAAAGTATGGTGGTTTTGGGTCCCAGGTTTCATTGTGGTGAATGTGCTCTGAAGAAAATGTCACTGAGCTAATAATTGTGGATGTTTCTGATCCATTGATATGTAACACACTATCTTTGGAAGGCCAAATATCATGCCTGGTCTCGAAAATCCATTTTTGAATTTCTCACAAACATTTCATGACATTGTCAATATATTGTGGGAATCATGCCAGTCATCAGAGCTATTCACATTACAACATTAAAACCAACTTCTGCTAAAGAATAGCAGAAAACCCTGTATGCTATGATGTGGACTTAATTCACTAATATACAGTATTTTAATGATTTATACACTATTTTCTGATCACAATATTATAACTAAATAAGAACTTAGAAGAATAAAATTGCTACTGCAATATCTATATAGGTAGCTGCCTGCCAGCCATTAAAATATGCTTCGTCAAGGGATATTTTTACTACTTCTCTTAAATTTTACAGGGTGTAATTTGTGATTTGCTGTTTGTGTAAAACTGAAGATGGAACTGAAAACCACTAGTATTTTTATCTCTGCTGTATGCCACATTCCAAATTCTACACTTTATAATTCTAAAAATGATTGTATTAACTTGATTGTAAACCAGATTTTATATTTTAACTTGGAGCACTGTGTTTTTGTAATGAAAACATACCAGCTACAATTGCTCTGTGCAATCACAAACTGAACGAGCTTTGTCTTAAAGTTTAACAGTTTCACTGTCAATAGATCACATCTGTGTAGCACGTTCCTTAATTTATCAAACAAAATCTGCACATTTTACAAGATAGGAACAATAAAGAATTATTTTTAGATCTGTAATCTCTACCACTTTGCAGGCATAAACAAGAAGAACAAAACTTCATCTCCAGGGGAAGTGATGATTTGGGGTGAGATTAAGATGAATGTATTAGCTTTTGGCTACATACTGTATGTATGCATATTTTAGCTCTTAAGTAGAACTTCTGAAATGATGGATCTAGGCCTCGAGATGACTATTTAGAGCCATGATGGTGAATCTATGGCACGCGTGACAGAGGTGGTACACAGAGCCCCCTCTGTGGGCATGTACACCATCACCAGCTGTTTTTCGGGTTTCCGGCACTCTGGCACGCATGCGTGCATTCAGGTTTGGGTACTTGGTGCTGAAATGGTTCACCATCACTGATTTAGAGGGATGTGTTACATTTTTAAAAAACCAGGTCCACCTTGCACAGAAAATGTGGGAGCATTGCACAAGCCTCAGTTGTGAGACTTGGACGGTGATGTAGGACTGCAAAGCATGTAGTTACACGTGTTAGATAAATTAAATGTAAATAAAGTAGTGTACCTTTCTCCCCCATGCCTAAGCCCACTGGGGTGCTGTAGAATTGCAGTGCTTATTTTTTTTCTCTCCCTCTCTAATTGTTGGAAGACCTGAAAGATCAAGTTAGAGACATATAATCATGGAGAAAGTAGAAAGCAACACCAACTTGACAGCATAATCAGTCAGTTTATTAAAATTTAGAGTATTAACTTGGTATAAGAACCCTATACATTTCTCACTAGGACTAGTGAGAAATTGCTCATTGGAATGCTCTCTAAAACAAGGAAGACCCCTGCAAAAGGCAGGCAAGTGAGCAAAGCTACATTTTCTGCACATGCTCAGGATCTAGGGATGTGTGAAATCTTCTCCAGTCTGGGGAAAACTTTTCTTCTGAAACAGATCCCTGGTGCCAGAAAGGTTGGGGACCACCGCTCTAAAAGTTAGCTGGTTAAAGAAAGAGAGGTGGAGCTAACGCTTCTGAGAGAGAAGGATTGAAGTCTTTTCATTCTATGTCCTGTCACCACTGTATACTGCCCCTTTCCCTCCAAGTTTACACTCCAATATTTTTTAAAAACAACCTTGTCAATTCACTGGCATTGCCCAGGATTAAAAATTAGAAACCAACAAATTCTTCTCCAGAAAGTGTCCAGAAAATGTTTAAGACAAGATTGTAGAATATATTCATTAGAGCCCATTGAATAATTTCATTGCTTTGCTTATAATTGAGTTATTATTTTCCCTTGAGTCTCATTATAGCTAACCAGCTTCCAATGGCAGAAAAAGAAATTGAAAAGCTGAAAATACTTCAGTAGAAAGTAAAATTAGCTTGAAGTACAGCATGCTAGATGTGTCTCAGATCATGTATTTAGTAGAATGCATTATGTATAACGTAACAGGTAAGCCAGGTGAAACACAGCATGCTCAAAACATGACTTTTGGATAGCTCATCATGGTTTCCCAGTGGCCCCTTTAAATTGAGGAACACAAAATAGAATCACCTGCCAACGTTTTCATCGTTTGGTTAATGATCAGTTAGAGAATTGTAAGGCATGCATGAATTCGCTTCCTCTGAAAAAGGCTAACCTATTGTTTTCTTCCTGAATTATAATTAAAGCAAAACCTCAAGGATGAAGAAAACCTTGTTACTAGAGCCTGCCATTTTCTTATATGTTTTTGCCTACTCTTTGACATCTCCTCTGAAGCAGCAATATGTATACAAAAGGATCTGGGAAGAAACCACCAACTCCACCTTCATAGTTCAAGATAATATTTCTCATTGTGAACTGAATCAAAGCAACCCTACCTATGTGAAGCAAAAGGTAAGATCAGCGTGCCCCAGACAATGTTAAGCAGAGTTAATGATGCATAATAGCAAATCATGTTGAATTTAATCTGTTCAGAGAAGAGGTTTCACACCTGGCAAAGCATCTCTTCACTTAGCTGCAATTACTTAGATGGGAAGCCCCAGCAAATCATTTGTCCGGAAACAAAAATAAAAAACAAGAGCACAATTTTCCTAGATGCAGTCAATGTCACACACATGCAATTCCTAAGGAAATGTCTTCATCAGCATTGCAAAATAAAATGCAGAAATTATTTTTGAGCTAAGTTTGGAAAAATGCACAAATCTAAATTTTAATAATTTAAAATATTAACTGTATTTGATTCGGATGTGAATATGTCCTTTTTCCTCTTTCAACTAGCCTCCATTTAGAATTCTCAAGAACATTTCAGGGTTTTACATACCTTTTTTCATTACTTCAGAAGCCTACTGCCATACTACTGCCAAATAAACTATAGAACTGTGTCCAAGGAGTCCCCTTGAAGTCAAAATGTTTCAAGGAATCTTTACAACACAGCTTCCAAACCCAGTATTTCCACACGTGTCCACGTTTCAGTTCTCAGGATTTCTAACCATGCTGCCAGGAAGCAGTTGTTGTACAAACCTATTAATAGGTGAAGGTTGATATGCAGATGTAAAGATTTCATGGGATGTAGTCCCAGACAAAGTTAGTAGTACCTAAATCCCTCTGATTTCCATAACTATGTTTCAAACTACATTGATTTTCCTTTATACGGCATACTAAATTAAGCCAGCTCAATTTATATTAGCTGAGTTTCCGGAGTTTGTTTGTCTAATGCAGGGGTGTCAAATTCATGGCCAATGAACCAGATGTGCCACGCCCACCCCTGTTTTAACTTAGGGAGGAAAAGTCACGATATGTCATGTGACAATAATGTAACCTCGTGGGTTTGACACCCCTGGTCTAATGTGTCTTCCCCACACACAATCAGCAATGATCATATCCAGAGAAAGGATGGAGGCCATACTGAAATGATTAAATATATGAATAGAAAGTAACATGCTAAAAATAACAGTGATAGATAATTTTCAATCTTTGTTCTTGCTATTACATTTTCATCCTCCTCCAATTCTCCGATCATCATTTTTGTGGCCTTGTTAATCTGTTTCTTATTTGGCTTATGCTTTTTAGCTGTAGTTTGCATTGCCAGCACAACTGTAGCTCCAGGGCTGGATTTTGCATCCAGAACATCCAAACTACAATCCCTGTCATCTCTGGATAAAGATGGGGAAAGACTACATTTTAAACTCTTGGAAGTATCTTCTAGTCAGTTCAGGCTGTTTGGGGCTGTAGCAATCCCTTGATCTAAGGCATTTTTTTGTATTTAATTTGAATCTGGAACAATGTGCTGGCATTAAAGAAACATATATTCCGATTACTTTGGCTGTTTAGTTCAAATTGCTTGAGGCATAGTGAACACTAAAAACTGTCACCTCATTATCTTAAGGGAAAATGAAATATTTCAGGGGTTTCATAGTATTTCAGCTGGATAAAGTTGATAATAGACTATAACATACTTGATTCAAACATATTCACATGCTAAGCAAATTGAACACTAATCACTTGGACACTTTGGATAATGTTATGTTTCAGAGTGTACTGATCCCCTAATTTGTTTATACTACATACAAACTACTTACATATCCAGGATAGATACATTAGATAGCAAATTACTATCAACTAATATTTTATGCCCTGAATAAGTTGGAGTAAAATATATAAAAGGTTTTGCCTAATAAATACATCATAACATTAAGGTTCTTTTTAATGTGTTCGCTTATTTAGCTATCATAACAATGACTTTAGAATACAGTTCATAGTATCTTTGATTGCTGGTTTCTATACACTATTCTATTCTTTACTAATTCTGTAGTACTGTAAAACAGAATTACGATTTATAGATGAGACCAGAAGTTGAATTACAATGGATACATTGATTAATTTGTCTCTATTCTTGTTTTATTTTCTTCTTTCAGGAAGTCCAAGAAAAAGCCTCTCTCTTTGCTATGAAAACAGACTTATGTGGGGCAATTTTCAGCATTTTGGTGGCCTTTGTCCTCGTAGCAAATGGAGATCGATATGGACGCAAAATATCATTGGTTCTTCCCCTGGTGGGGAGTCTTACCGGCAGCATCTTCCTCTTTGTTATGTCAGACTTGTCTTTGCCCATCTACCTTTTCTTTGTTTTCTCCTTGGTTACGGGCCTGTTTGGAGACTTGGCTACTTTTCTTGGAGGAGCCTTTTCCTTTGTAGTTGATTGCTGTGAGACTCAGAAAAACAAAACCATCCGAATAGCTGTGATTGACTTAATCTTTGGATTCACTTCTGGATTGGGAGGATTGGTCTCAGGTTACATTCTAAAAGAAATAGACTTTATGTGGACATTTGCCATGATTTCTCTATTTCACATGGTCAATATTTTCTATGTCATATTTTTCTTGGACGAAACAGTGAAAGTCTCTGCAATCCAGGCACAATCTTGGCGGGAAGGTCTTAAAGACACTCTGTCTGGAGTATATATGCTCTTTAAATCCTCCTCCCTTAGGAAGCGAATTTTAATCATCTTGCTGCTTTGCGTATTCATGACTTACCTTTTCACAGTCTATGGAGGGCTTAGTCTCTATGTGCTATACGAACTGAATGCTCCCCTCTGTTGGAATGCCATTTACATAGGATACGGCTCAGCTGTGTCCACCTCAGTCTCTGTGACTGGATTCTTAGGGATTGTTTTTCTTTCTCATTACCTGAGAGATAGCTATCTTGTTTTTATTGGAATCTTCTCCTATATGGGAGGAAGTATCATGGCCGCCTTTGCCAACACTACATTGTTGATGATGTTGGGTAAGTTTTACTTGGTTAAGTTCAAAGATGATGGTAAAACATTTTAATAACATAGTTCAGTGTTTTTCAATCCTGGCCACTTTTAAGATATGCGGCTCTGAACTCCTAGATTTCTCCAAGTTGGGGAATTCTGTGAGCTGATGTCAAAATATCTCAGAGGTGCCCAGATTGACAAATATTGATGTAAGTAATTAGAAAATTGGTGGTGCTTGTTACTTTCTACATTATTTATGGCACTGGTCCAAAACTCAGGTCGTTCTCATGAAAAGCTGCCCAGACTTCTAGTTGGAAATGCCAAGGGATTTAACCAGGACTTTCTGAACATAAGTTTCAAACTCTACATTCCAACTTTGTAATATTCAAGTGAATGAAGTTTGTAATCTTTTAGAAAAGTTGTGCTTCAAATTATAATTTCTATGCCTTTAGGCAGGGGTGGGCTGCTGGAGGTTCGCAAGGGTTTGGGAGAGCCCCTAGCTAGAATTCTGTGCAGTTCAGAGAACCCCCCCCCCCAAATCCCACTCCTGGCTGGCCCCGCCCACCCCTTCCCAGGAGTCCCCATGTGGCCCGTTTTGCAGGTAAGTGCAGAACACACACAGATGCTCAGGGAGGGCAAAAAATGCCCCCCCTGTAAGTTTGGGAACGCCAAAAACAAGCCCATTTCTGAGAGTCTCCTGAGCCCGCAGAGGCATTTTTCGCCCTCCCAGAGGCTTGAGGAAAGCCTCCGGAGCCCAGGGAGGGCAAAAACGCTCTCCCCCTGATGGTGCAGGAGGCCAACCAGGCCATGCCCACCATGGCCACGCCCACCCAGCAACCGGGCAGAGAATCCATTGCTAAAATGTTTGAAGCCCACCTCTGCCTTCAGGACAGAGGTTCCCAAGGGGGGGAAGGAAGAGAGAATGGTTCTCTGTGAGTAGCAGGCACGGGCAAGCATATGCGCCTGCTGCTTATGTAAGTGGAGCTATGTGCTCACCTGCCCCTTACATGGCCCAGTTCCGAATGCGCTGCGGGCCAGTAGTGGGTCATGGCCCAGGAGTTGAGGACCCCTGCTTTAGGATCTGTAAGGCAACATAATAGCAGCGTAAAATGTAAGCCACAATAAAACAGCAAACAGCAAAACTACTAGAGGCAACAATTTATATTATTAGTATAATAAACAAATTATACCAAAAGACCCTCTTGAAATAGCAATATTATAACTTACCCACTGAAAGCTAGCTGTAAAAGTAAAATGTAGCTACTTGCTACATTTTTATTGGAAAACAGAGCTGAATCTTCCATGTCCGCAATTTGCAAAAGAGGCCCATAACAGATAACTGACTATATTATGTTTATTGTTTTCTTGTCTTTTAGTCATTTTCTGTAGCTACGGAGATTTCATTCTGTTAGTTTGTCATCTGGGGGGAATGTTATAACTTTCCTTTGTCTACTGTCCCCACAATGCTTTTGAATAAGATAACATAATTAATTTAATAATGTATTTCATGACTTTTGTCAATTTTCCACCATGCTGTACCCCATCTACACCATGACTGGTGCTAAATTGGAGGAAACCAATACCTGCCAGATCTATATTGAATTTAAAATCTGAATGTAATGAATTCCTTCTTCCAACTGCTGTTTATCTTGCAACTTCAGGTTCATCCACATACCACAGTTGAAAATGTGCACACAAAGCAATATCCAGTATCTTCTGAAAGAGATATACATTAAATATTTTGGCTACTATTTTTATTACTCATACAAAATTCCTAAGTGGACAAACATATTGCTTATGATACAGGTATTCCTCAACTTACAGCCATTCAGCTAGTGATATTTATTCAAAGTTACAATGGCACTGTAAAAAAATGACTTATAACTGGTTTTCACACTTATGACCGTTTCAGCATACCCATGATCACATGTTCAGAATTTGGGCACTTGGCAACTGGCATGTACTTATGACAGTTGCTGTGTCCTGGGGTCATGTGATCACAATTTGTGACCTTCCCAGCTGGCTTCTGGCAAGCAAAGTCAATGGGGGAAGCCAGATTCGCTTAACAACTGCATGAATCACTTAACAACTGCAGCAATTCTCTTAACAACTTTGGCCAAAAGATCATAAAATGGGGCGCAACTCACTTAACAGTTGTCTTGCTTAGCAACAGAAATTTGGGTCTTAATTGTGGTCGTAAGCTCAGGAATAGCTGTAGTGAAAAATGTACTTGGTGGAGGGCATCTTTTTAAATCCATGAGGATTTCTGAAAGATGCTACCATGCTTTTTACCCAGATAAACATTTACGGTTAATTGTCACAGTATAAATTGATTGGCTATTTGGGGTAATTATGTTAAACACCGTTGACTTTCGTGACTCCTATTTGCAGTGAGAATACCATCCATGCTCCTTTTCGTACCCATTCCAGTTATTCGAGCCATGTTGTCGAAAATAGTTCTTCCTAATGAACAAGGTGAGTCAGTGCTGATAAAGAATTAGTTGTAGATGTTGAAGGAATCCAATGAAGTTCCTTGGGTCCGTCAGTTTGTATTGTCGCCCTGAAGCAACAGCTCTATATTGCATTGTTATCTTAATTAGTTCCAAATAGTGAACCATTTCCATTTGGGGAACATAAGTCCCATTTTGCCACTGGATACCCAGATTCATGGCATTGAGTATCCTCATCAGCTTAGTTTGGTGGCCATCTTTGAAATATTGTGGTGATTCTTAGGAAAATGCAGTATTCTGCATACTAGACTTTTATCAATCAGTTAATCTATTCAAACAGACCGGCATTCTTATCTACTAAACTTGTAAAGGTAACTTAGAACATTAGGAAAAGTTACTGCTAGCTTAGTAGCAGATATCAGTCTTGGAATGCATACTTAAGCATATTTTGTGTATAAACACAATTCACAAGGTTTTTATTGTGCTTAACTATATGGTACCCATCTGCCAAGGTGTAACAAGGGTGACCTGAGGGTGTAATAACTGTCTGGGAGGGTAAAGTCAGTTTCCAGTTTATAAATATTAAGTTGCCTAGCATAAGTTGCAACTCTAATTTGCTCGAAAACTAATTGGTTTATTCGTTAGATTTCTATTAATTTTCCCCCCAAGATATACATTGTATGTCCCCTTTCCACTTTACTGCAATCTTATGAGGTAAACCAATCTGAGATACAGCGCCTGGGTCAGTAAAACTCCTGACTGCGGGGATTTGAACCTAGCCTGACACATTAATCGTTACAGCAGCAGGATAGGGAATGTACCCCCTCTGTGTAGTGCATGCTGCTCCAGAATTTGTGTGAGCAGAATTAAATACGGGGTTGAGAAGGGAAGGCTTATAGAGCAAAATGGGCATCTTGCAGAAACTTAAACATAACGCTTCTTGTGCTGTCCAGCCAGCGTATGGGAATTGGGTAGTTCGCAACTGTGACCTGCATCATGGAATGCCTCATGGTAAATGTAGTTAAGGTATCCTGGGAAATGTAGTCCATGTCACGTGACCACATCTGTAATCCTGATTGGTCATTAAATTGACCCTCGATGGGTTGGGGGAGGTTTCCTCATTCTTGGCTGAACTCACGGATTCGTGGTAACTGTTCTACCATTACGAGATGGGTGAAAAGGGATAGGAGATAACCATCTTTTTACCTACAAGACAGATATGCAAAGGATTCAGAATACAGAACACCTCTTTAAAATCTGGATTTCCCATCCAAAATCAGAATGACTTATTTTCCCTGTAGGTGGGATTAGGGGACAAAACGGAGTCCTTAAGACTTTCAAAGGCACTGTTTTCTTTCCTTGACTGTCCCTTCCAACTTTTTTTAACGTTCAGAAAATTCTACCCTTGATTCAGTGATGTTTTGATGTCAGACACATTTCTTTCAGACCCCAGACAGGCAAATCTCCACCTGAAGAGGTTTGCACACCCTCGCACTGAGAGTTCCAGATCTAATACTATTAAAAATGTATATGAGAACCAGTCTTGCTCATTCCATTGTGCAACCAAGCACATTACAGAAATCATAGAAAACAACTCCAGTCAGCGTGGCCAATAATTGTAGGGATAGTAATATCGTCCTATTTGAAAAGTGTTGGGAAAGTTACAGTAGAATTTATGTATTTTTTGCAAGGTACAGAACCTGCTTTATAAGGAGGGACAGCCAGATAGAGCGGCGTATGACTGACTGTTGTGGTTTAGCTTGTGTAGTTCAGATATTTGCCTGACTGTCAGAGAAATGCATTGGATGGTATGTGCAGACAGCTGAATCAATCACTCATTCCATTCCATTGTCATCTTTCTAGTAGCATAGTGTAGTTATACACATATACACACAAATGTCTGGATTTCTGTAATCTAGTTTTTCTTTTATTTTCCTTTTTGACAGGAGCTTTATTTGCTTGCATTGCTTGCTTAGAGGTTGTGACTGGGACCATTTCAACTGCTGTTTTTAATACTATCTATGCAATGACTGTGGCATGGTTTCCTGGCTTCAGTTTTCTGTTATCAGCTGGCTTCTGCATACTTCCACTGAGTTTAATGAGGTAAGAAGGACCATCCATTTTGTAATATTGGAATCTCTTTTGTTATTTTCCAGAAATGTTGATCTCCATACAAAAGGGATGTTAGTTTTTGTATTCAATTCTTTTCGTTCACATAGAGTCGTATTTTTCAGTTTATGATAGAAAATGATAGAAAATGAATTGTCATTTCATTTCATTTTGATTTGATTTTGTTTGTATTGCCATTTTATCCTTGATTATTTTAATGTTTTTTATGAGGTAAGCCACCCAGGGTCACTTTGAAAGAAGATGAGCTGCAAATAAATTAAATTAAAATGCCACTCTGGGGCTATTGTTTTCTATGATAACCCTTTCCATTTACTCTGTACCAACCTGACTGCCCACACTTCTCAGTCAGAAAAAGATCTATGGGAGGAATTCCTTCATGATTTAATTGAAGCACACGAAGCTAGGAAGGAGGGATGACTATTCCCTGAAGAATAGGACTGTCACACACCAGCTATGGATCATCTCTTAACCAAATGGAAGAAGATAGAATAACAGAGTTGGAAGGGACCTTAGATGTCTTCTAGTCTAAGGCCTTGCAACATTGCAACATTTTACTTAAGCCTTTTTTTAAATAAAATTTTAGAAACAGATTCTCTGATATCAGTTTGAATTGAAACTAATAATAGAACCATGTGAAATTTATCTGCATGACATTGACCATACATACCACTATTTGTTTTTATAAATGGAATACTACTAGTATACTACTACCATGATCCCTTGAATCATCCTTTTAGAGATGTTTCGTTACCAAATTTCTCAGTGCCTACAACAGTGACAGAACTTTTAAAGTACTGCCTTCATTGGAAAAATTGGGAAACATTCAGTGATACACCTGCCATGAAAATAGTCCATGTTGAACTGTGTAGCATGAACATCAATGCTAGAAATGTTTTATGACATTTTGTATTAAATCATAAACTGTTTTATAATAAATTTTATGTGATAAAATGTTTTATAACATTTGCCAAAGATCTATCCCACGGAACTAGTGGGTGCTGGATTTTGAACACATTCAAATGTAGGTTAGTACATTTGAGGTAATTTGATTCAAAAACCATTGCCCTATGATGCATTGTTTCTACCAGTTAAACATTGTGGGAATGAGAGTTTTAGTGTAAATGTGGCATCTATTTAAATTGCAAATATCCACCTTTAAATTTGGTTAGGATTTGTTAAATTGCCACCCATCTCACCATGGAGCTATAGTGGATGATTTGCAACAAAAAGGAACGAAGAGTGTAAACAGAACTAAAATAATAGAACAATAAAATAAACAATGAAAAAGAATGCAATGGCCATATATCAAATTTGCTATTGATTCTGAAAATCTGGTGTGTGGACATCTTTGAATTTGAGTTTCAATGACCCTGGAGCAGGAGGATTAAGACAAATATCTATTAATGTAATAATAGATAGCCTTTTTGTGATCAGATGACATACTTGAGCCTATTTGTTTATATATTTCATAAAATATATAATAGATAAATTGAAATTATCATTTGGCTTGTTTAGTATTTTATTTGGACAAAATAATCCTAAAAATGGCTTTGTTTAAAGGAGATAGTATTACAGGCATATTATTTTAGGGTTTTTTTTCAATTATGTATTTATTTTACACTTTGAAACTACCCAATAACTAAAGGTCTTGGGACAATTTATGATAAAATGTTAAAAATACAATTTTAATTAAAACATACACAACAAAAATAAAATAACTATAAGCTAAAATATTCTAAATAGCCACTGAAATTTGCTGTTGTCTATTTAGGGGCCCCCAGCCCCCGCAATTTTCAATTGTCCTGGTGAAAGCATATTAAAGTGTCTGAAATGCTGTTAAAAATTTAGAGCCACCTTTACTCTTAATCTAAAAATGGCACAATGGACATTTTCTTCCTAAATTAACTTCAAAGACAAGAAAGAGAATTCTGGGAATTTTGCATTACAATTTATGATAATTTTATGGCTTACGTTTCTTTTCAATTGAATTAGTATGTCTTCACTCCTTTTTCCCTCAGTTGGTTTATGTGTGTAACTCGACAGGAAGAGAACTATGTGCAACTCATAAATGAAGAGGACTGTCCTGGCCAGAACAATGACAGCTAAACAGAGAATACATCTAGCAGTTACTGCTCTCAAGTTCTATAATGGCTTAACCTGTGGGTGGGGTTGCCAGAGTTTCACTGCTTTCAATGGCTCCATTTTGAGAATTCCACAATAATTGATTGGCTTGGCTCAAGTTTGCTTTTATTTTGGATTGCTATCGGGTGCCTTCAAGGGATGCAAAGTAAATTTAACTGCTTTATATCCCCCAAATGTTGACTGTGGGGATTTCCTGTCTTAGATTTCTTCCCATTGCTGGCCAGTCACAAATTGTCCTTTGATCCAAACTAGGTCAAAACATAGGTCAACTAAAAAAATGTATTTGCTTCATCAGATCAGATTATAAAATTATGATAGATAGGCAAGTTATGCTTAAAATATTGAATGGATTATATGTATTTTCTAATCCCTCCACTAATTTGTGTCCGGAATTAAAAATTCTCAAAGATTTATTTATTTAGGTCACTAGGGGTAATCCTTCACCATCACCCTATGAAGTAAGTATTTCTTCGTTTGGGTCTCTGTCAGAATTCTTTAACCCGTATGACATTCATTGGCTCCTCTTTTAACAAATGCATAGGCTTAAGAGAGAAAGTGTGAAGTAGATTGGGCTGGAACTAAGGAGAACCAGATAAAAGTTTGCTCCCCACTATAGAGCATCCGGATCTAGGCCAAAAGTCAACCAAAGTTACTTCACTGGTTGTTGTGGAGAGAACAAGAAAGGCCACGATGTATATTGACTTAAAGAACGGAATGTAATAACAGTAAAGTTCAGTGATTCATACTCCTTACAGGAATTGAAAAACAAAGAGAAGCAGTGATAAGCCACTCTGAAAATCATAACCCTCCATTCTCCTAACTTATTTACTTTTTGTAAATAGGTTTTATGTAGAACACGGGTGTCGAACTCATGGCATCACAGTGCCGTCATATCACATTTTTCCCATTTGCAGAGTTGGGGTGGATGTGGTTTGTGCATGATGCCTCTGGCCCGCAGGCCACCAGTTTGACACTCCTGATGTAGAAGATACAGCAAAAACCATACATTTGCACTGTAGGATGGGGAAAAAAGGGTCAACCACTAGGCGAACATAGCTTTCTAGTAGGGTCCAAGAACCTGTAAACTAGAAATTGCCTTCAGACAATAGAAAGCATTTCTTTTTTTGAGAAAAAAAATAGAGTTACAGGTTCTGGCAGAAAAAGTGTGAGTGAAGGGAAGGGAAGGGAAGGGAAGGGAAGGGAAGGAAAGGAAAGGAAAGATAGATAGGCATTCCCTGATCCAACAGGACTGTTTAATGAATTTCTCTTATGCAGTGGAGAAACCTTGCTTGGATACTTGCCTCTACCTCAAATTTTTCTTAGCAATCATAAGCAGAAAATTATAGCAATACAACTCCTTTCCACTTTGCACTGAAATTAGGTAAAGACTTTGAATCCAAAGGGCAAAATTAGTAGTTTGTATGCCCTGTACTGATGCATTTTGAACAGAGGGATGTGAGAATGAGGGGATTTTTCTAGGCATGTACAACAGTCACCTAATGTATATATTATGATTCAACAAAGTGGCATTACTATTTTTAGGAATCATTCCCTTTAATCTTGTGAAAGAGTAAACTCCACCAAAAACCTTACTTCTTATTCCGCATGGTCTCTGAAAGCCTCTGCCTCTTACTTTTATGAAGCAAAATAGATTCTTCTCAATAGAGCCAGTTTGGTCTCATGCCTAAGGCACCAGGATAGAAACCAGGAGATTGTGAGTTCTAGTCCCACAGTAAGCATGAAAGCCAACTGGGGCAGTCACTTTCTCTCAGCCCAGCTCACCTCACAAGATTGTTGCTGTGAGAAAAACAGAGGAGTATTAGGCATGTTCGCCTTGTGCTATTTATAAAAATAGTAAGAGGTATATAAATAAATATTAGAATATTAACAGAAACATGTTGCAACTACCTGATGTTTGCCACCTTGTTAAATCCTTTAATATACTCACTGCACAATTTTAGACATGCTAGTCACAAGACCCATCAAATCACATGTGCCAAAAAGACATTAATCTGCAATATTTGTTGTCTGTTCGTTTCTTTTGAAATGCACTATGTAATTTGACATAAGAAATGGTGTTGTAATGATATTTTTATTTTGCTAGGGAAGTGGCAAGTAGCAGGCCACAAGTAGCATTCATCAGTGATTTTAGACTTTTACTATGAATAATGGAAGTGAAATACACAGGGTCTGCAGTGCTTGTACTGCAGTATATATCTGCCTGCAGAGCGGGTTATTTATTATGCCTTCAGGCTGCCATTGAAAATGTTTAAACTGAGGCTAAATGAGCAAGAAGGGATAGCCTAAAAGCATCAGTAGTAGCAAAGTGCACTTGGTAATGTATTGGCTCCATTGAACACTGTGTGGTTTCTGGGCAATTCCATATAGGGTTTTACTTCACAACCTTAAGTGGGTTGTAACTTTTGTATTTTTGTAAGTACACACCATTTTATTGTTGTTAATAAAGTTTAAAAGCTACAATTAGAGAAGCAGTCTTGCGTTCTGTTGCCCACCATTGCAATTATGCATATTTTGTAATCTTTCACGTTTTAATATAATTCTTATATACATTTTCTTCTGGTTCAGAAACCTTTTGTATTTTTATGCTTTGCAATTAAATCAAAGATATGGATCTAATTCGTCTACTGTTACTGTTTTAAACTGCCATACAATTAGGCTTCTCTTCCAAGATGTTGCGTGTAAGTCATTGTACTTGGTCAGTGCTGCTGTGAGACATGAATCTATTTCTATTCCTATGTGCAAATAATCTAGTCTAAAAGGGCTAATTCATCCCAATGTCATAGAGCATTCAAGGCAATGAGATAAAAGCAATTCCTAGCACTTTGGTCTGCAGTTCAAGGAATCCCATTCAGTGCCTATATGAAAAGTACTGCTGATGGCTTAGTGAATTTCTTGCAACTTTTAACTCCCTGCATGTATTTTGTTCTAATATTATATTGCAGTGTTCTGCTGCCGCATCTTGGAAGTTTGTCACATGAACAGCACCAAGATTTAAACTCTGGAAGTCAGATACATGATCTATCTACAGATGGATTTTAGGCATGGAACCAAAAGTGCTCAGAATGTTGAGGCTCTTTTATTCCATATGCAGAACTAGATGCTGGGAGCAATGCTGCCTGGCAAATTAAATTCAGCTGGTTTTTTTGTTTCCAGTAGATTCCTGAATGTCCGATGTGTGTCTGTTCATAATTGAGAATATTTCACGTAGCCGTTGGTGGCTTTAGGGAATAGGCAACAGGTTGTGCACATCTCCCCATCATTTAAATCAGTGGTTGTCAACTAATGGGCCTGGACCACTGATGGCCCGCAAGAAAATTTTGGTGGTCTGCAGAGAAATGTCACCCCCAAAGCAATTAATCCAGGCTACGTGGGAAACAAGGTTGCGCTGCCCCACGCACCTGGTCTGGCCACCTGGCTGCTTCTTTCCGCTTTCTTCTGCTTTTGGCTGCACGCAAGGAAAGCAGTAAGTCTTTCTTTCTCTCCCCCAAACTCTGCCAGAAATGAGTCTTTGGGACCCTGCAAGGCATCCTGCTCCAAGAGGCTGTGCCAGTGCAACAAGTCTCACAAAGACTCATTTCTGGCAGTGTTTGGGGGAGAGATTTCTGCTGCTTTCCTTGCATGAAGCCAAAAGTCTCTCTCTCTCTCCCCCCCTGAGAACGGAGCTGGAGACAGTATCTTGCGATCCCAAATAATGATCGATTAGTAGGAAAACGGGGTGGGGAATTTTCCTGCAGACTTTTTTGAGGATTTTCCCAGGGTCTCTGCTGCTTTCTGCAGAGACCCTGGAAAAACATCAGCAAGCCACCGTCAGTCAAAATTCGTATTAGTGGTCCACCGGATTTAAAATTATGAGTTTGGTGGTCCCTGTGGTCTAAAAGGTTGGCCCCTGATTTAAATGCTCACTGTCCTTTCTTAATTTACAAGTAGCCCCAAAATGCTGGTTAACAGTCAGTGTGCTCCATGCCTGGAATAGAGAAACCCAAGCTGAAATCCAGCGTTAGTTATGGAAAACTCACTGGATGACTTTAGGCCAGTTTCTCTCTAATGTATCCAACACAATAAAAATCAAGAAGGGATAGGTTGTAAATAGATAGTGGAAAACAAATTACAGTGGTAATTTTTAGTATGCGATTCTTTATATTTATTGAAGCTAGAAGTTTAAATGTTTAAGAAGCATGAAAGTAAATAGAATGCTTGAAACTTGGGAACAATAGAAAAAAAGCCAACAGATATTATTCCTGGTGTCATAACCATGACTTTAAAGAACACGGATGTAGTTACTGAAAATCAGGATGACGCTGACAGGCCATGAAGACTCCAAAACCTATTTAAGTTTTATTTCTCTCCTCCACCCTCCAATAGAGCCAGAAGTCCTGTCATTTCACTACCTAGCTAATTCAGTTTTTAGATGGGAACCTGTATTCCCCGTACCAAGAAGAAAAAGGAGACATATGTCTGAGTCTTTGAAGTGGGTGAAGGCCGTCAAATAATTGAAGATTAATAACTGGCTAACAGCCAATATAGCTATCAAATAACAGAAATGCCCTGACGAAAAAGGGAACTATAAACCAACTATCACTCCAACTTATCAAAAAGAGGTTATCGTGAAAATGAGTGCCTGCCAAGGAAATGAGGCTCAATAGGGAGGTATTATTTCAGGGAGACAAAAGAATGTATTAGAGGTTAGTACCTGCTCTTATGACTGGTTATTACCAGACTCAGATTCTATCTTAAAATGGCTTTAGCGACAAATAGGCTATCATCATCATCTGCAACTCAATAGCCGCCTAACAAAAACAAGTCCTGCTTGGGGTGAACATATTTGAAGATGCTATTAAACACTCAGAAAAAGTCCCAATGCTTACTGAAAATGTTATTTATTGTTTAAAAGACACCAACCATCAGGAGCAAAGGAAATTAACAATAAATCTCTTGCTTTAAAATTGCAAAAAGTTGTTTTGCAAAGATTTTCCAATCCTAACAGTTTCATATTTTCCTGTTTCTGAATATATTTTTATGTATGGCCTCCTAACTATAAATAAGAGCACTATAATGTTGGATATAATCATATATCCTTTTTTAAAAACCCAATTCATAAGATATTAGGCAGTAAACACAGAACAGGGTGTTTGTAACGTTTATTGTGCTTCTTTCACGGAGTTGGTGAGAAACTGCCTATCAAAACAAATATTTCATTTAATATAGTTTATTTCAACCCTCACAGACACAGGATAGGAATGTTCTGATGAACAGAAAAAGCTGTAATATGTAAGTATTATAATAAACCAAGTTTATGTTCAACCATCATATGAGGTTCTACCATTCGTTCACTTTGTGCAGGATCTGGAAAACAAATTTAGTAAAATGTTAATTAAGGACAACTGAAGGCATGTCACTTATGCATTATACTTTGTTTCTTCATTTAGCCTATATTGAGCAAATTTAATTTATTCAGGTGAAGAGTGGCCTGAATAAAATCTAGTATTTGTTTCTTATCTGAGAGGTGATTTCTTACAGTGTTTACTCAGGTCCAGACATCCTACACATAAATATGTCCCATCTTCCCTGCAGACTCTACAAAAGGTCTAAATGGACAGTTTCACGTATGAAAAGGAATTCTGCTGGATTGGACTGAAGACCTAGTCTGATCCAGCACTTCCTCATAGTAAACATCTATAACATAGTAAACTTGACTTACAACAGTACTTTTACTGACCAAAGCTACAACAGCACTGAAAAAAGTGACTTATAATTGTTCTTCCCACTTAGTGACCAACATCCCCCCGATCACATGAATCACCACACCGTTGCTGTGTCCAGGGTGATGCGATCACCTTTTGCAACCTTCTGACAAGCAAAATCAATGGGGAAGCCAGACTCACTTAACAACCAGGCTACTAACTTACCAACGGCAGTAATTCGCTTAACAGCTGCGGCAAGAAAGGTCGTAAAATGGCACAAAACTCACTTAACAAATGCCTCATTGAACAACAGAAATGTTGGGCTCAATTGTGTTCGTAAGTCAAGGACTATCTGTAGAGGCCTATTAAAATGTTTAAGAAGCCCAAGGGAAGGGGACAATAAATATGAGCTTAGGTTGTTTCTATTACTAGCCCTCAGCAATATACGGCTACGCATATAAATATGCCATCATGGAAATATGACCCATGTCTCCCTAGAGTTTAAAACTTGTCCAAACCTTACCGCCAAGAATGTCTTCAAAACCAATGCAATCATCATTGCCTTTTAAGACATCCAGTGCCAGATTAGAGCTGTGAAGGAAAGGCAGGCGCTGGATCTACAAAAGATTTTACAAGTTAGTCATCCATATTTATTAATAATGAGATATGCCGTATTAAAGGAACAAACAAATCAATATCAAGTGGCTCACTCAGGCTGCACTTTTTATATTCCACCCATGTAATGTTTGAAGAAGGATGCAGATGTAGCATTCAATATATTGAAAATATATATTTTAAAAATATGAGCTTTACCATTACTTTTGCCGCCATACAGGAATACTGCAGTTCAACAATATCTCACCTCTTCTTTTGAGATGTCAGCAAGAAGAAATAATTGTTCTTCAAAATAATATTTCTATCCTGGTTTTTGTTTACATACTTAATTTTCCATTTGAAAAATAAATTACTTGGGAGGTGCACAACTTTTCAGGCAATAAAGATATCAGTGTTAATTAACATATTTTACATTGTATTTAATATCAAAAATTGAAATGACAAGTTTTATGAAGGGGTAATACCACAACACATAATGCCTAGTAGAATTCTCTGAAGAATTGGAAATAATGGCTTTGCAAAGGGTGAGTGAAGCTTATCAAAAAGTCAATCTCAGTGCAGATGGTGAGATTCCAAATAAATCCAGAGCACTAATTTATATTCAATTAATAATCCTGACAAAACACATTATGTAGCTACCCGTTTCCTTTTGGATAAAGCAAAGTTAGGCAAAACTCAGAGGACACAGAAATAGTAAATTAAAAGAATGTAGAAATGAGATATCAAGTCCAACTAAATCTAATTTATACTATGGATGCTCAAATATATACTCCCACAGGTATAAATCATCTTGGGCCAGGTCAAACTTATAGGTTCTTGACTTACATAATAGAACCAGAATTTCCACTGTAAATCTTGATGGCCATGATGGCACCCACATTATTCGATCCGATTTGATTTCCTTTGTTGTGGTGGTTGTTAAGTGAACAATACAATCATTAAGCTAATCTACGTATTCCAATGGGCGTTTTTGCTAGATGCTAGCCGAAGAGGCACCATAGCAAAAACCATTGTAAGTAACAATAGCACTTAGACTTCTATACCACTTCACAGTGCTTTACCGCCCTCTCTAAGCAGTTTACAGAGTCAGCATAAGGTCCCCAACAACCTGGGTTCTCATTTTACCAACCTCAGGAGGATGGAAGGCTGAG